GATATGCCGTTTTCTGGTGCTAGGAATGCTGGAAAAAGAAATGGAATGGAGGGGTGAGAAGACAGTAAAAAATGTTGAGTTGGCGGGCACATGTATTGTATAATAGTGATGTTCATAGATAGTAGGATATTCAGATCTAAATCTCTATAAAGCTATATTATCTAGAGTTACAAACTTGGAAGTCATCTACACAAGGTTTTCTAACAAAAACCAGGGAAGGGCCTCCCCGGTGGCGCAGCGGTTGAGCGCTGGGTTGCGAAGCTGCCCGCAGCCCCTGTAGCGCCGGTTCGATACCCAGCTGCTCCCCGGCCACCAGAGGAGGGTCCCACATGGCGCGCAGACCTCTCCTGCTGCCCGCTGCTCCCCTCAGCAGTGTACTTCGGTCCTTCTGCCTGCTCTGCTCCCCACTCTGGATCTGGTGAATTCCCTCACCCTCCAGCACTTCTGACTGTACCCAGTGCTTCTAGAAATAAATAAATAAATAAATAAATAAATAAACAAATAAATAAATCTTAAAAAAAACAGGGAAATGAAAGTTATTGCTTAGCAAGAGTGTGCAAAATAATGAAAGAGAACCTGGCATAGAAGCTTAAGGAATATGTGAAAGAAATATCTTTAGAAAAGTCTGAGGAGAGCAATCACAAAACGTGGAGAAAATATAGGAGAACAGTATTACAGACACTAAAGGAAAAAAACATTGTAGGAAGGATAAAGTGGTCAACATGGTTAGATGCTGCTAAGAGACCAAGCAAGAAGGAAACTCAAATTTCCATTGGATTTATTGACAAGGTCATCCTATGACCTTGGGGTAAGAGCAAACTCAGTGTAATGCTGAGGGCAAAGGTGAGAAGGCAAAGTGAGAATGCAAAGATCTGAAGTGTAAACAGGTGATTAATATATGAAGACAAGTGCGGGATGACTATTTCAATAACTGTGACTGCAAAAGATGAGAAAGGAGGGGCCTCCCTGGTGGCGTAAGGGGTTAAGTCTCAGTACTACGAAGCTACCTGCAGCCACTGCAGCAAGAGTTCGATCTCCAGCCAGAGAGGTGACCCACATGGCACAGCAGACCTCTCCTGTCCTTCCTGTTGCTCCTCTCAGCAGTGTATTTCAGTAGATCTGCCTGTCCTGCTCCCCACTCTGTCTCTGGTGAATCCTCTCAACCCCTGCACCTATGGCCTGCACCCCAGCTCTTATATGCATAAATAAAAAAATCTTCAAAAAAAAAAAAAAAAGACAAGAAAGGAATAGCCCTCTAAGTAGAAGGGAACGCGAATGTAAAGGCAAGGAATGTTTTAAATTTATAAAAAGAGACACGGTACACTTAAAGTTAGGGGGAACCAGGATTGAGGAAGAAGCTTCAGGTAGAGGACAAAGTAGGATTATCTATATACGCAGGTATTCAAGAGGGCAGGTAAACTCCACAGTGAAGGCCAGGGATCTTTTTGTCATACAATCCACTGTGCCTAGAACAGTGTATTTTCCCCCTAGGGTTGTTGTAACAAAAATACCACAGACTAATGGCTTAAAACAGCAGATATTTATTGTCCCACATTCTGGAGCCAGAGTGAAATCAAGGTGTTGTCAGGATCACATTTCCTCTGTAATCTTAATTGTCTTTTCCAGCTTCTTGTGGTGTTTGTGTTTTTTCTTGCCTTGATACTGCATAATTTTAATCTCTGCTTTCATTGCCACATGACATTCCCTCGAGTCTGCCTTCGCATGACCCATCTTTTTATAAATACATCAGTCATACTGGAGTAGTACCAACACTACTCCAGGATAAACTTGTTTTAACTAATTATATCCACAACAATCCTCTTTCCAAATGAGGTCATAATCTGAGATACTGGGGGTTAGGACTTCAACATCTTTTTTTAGGGGAGACATAATTAAGCCCATAACTAACATCAATATTTGTGGAATGAATGAATGAATGTAATTTGGAGAAGAAATTTGGCTTAGACCAGAGAAAGGACACAACTCCATTGTAATGAGGAAGAAAAACAGTACATCTATTTAATGGCTGGCGTAAAGACATTGTATTATTTGAAATCTTCAAATCCTCTATGAAGACAGGTGAACTCCATGCTGAGGTGAAGAAAGAGTTGAGATAGGGTGAAGGAGAGGTTAGGTATGAGGAGAAAGGACATCTGAAATGGGGAAGAAAACCGACGAGGAAAACAAGGACTGCCTAATAGCACTGAGGGCCTTGTTGAGGTAGGAGACCATAAATGTATACTGACATAAATCTGTCCTGCTTTGTGATTTTTGTAGCAAGGCTTAGTAATATTGGTGTGCTACTGGAAGAAGCAAATGGTTGGATTCATCCATATTTGGGGATTTGCCAGGTAATGGGGTAGTAGCCAAGGAAAGACAACAGGTTGAGAAATTAGGAATATTGGCATGAAAGAACTGATCTGCCTTGGAATTAGGCTAGATAGGAAGGGAAGTTAAAGTGAAGTGGAATTTGATATAGAACACAGAACTGGGGCATCCCTGGTGGCTCAAGGAGTTAAGACGCAGCATTATGAAGCTATCTACAGCCACTGCAGTATAAGTTCGATCCCTGGCCAGGGAGGTGACCCACATGGCGCAGCAGATCTCTATTATCTTGCCCACTGTTCCCCTCAGCAGTGTATTTCAATCTGCGTGTTCTGTTCCCCACTCTGTCTCTGGTGAATCCTCTCACCTCCCCTGCACATCTGGCCTGTACCCCAGTTCTTATATGCATAAATAATCTTTAAAAAAAACAAAACACAGAACTTTTTAACTATTTGTGCTGTGGACTTCTTTGCAATTCTGGTGAAGTTTTTGGAGCCTACTCAATAAATGTTTTTAAATTCATGAAATAGGGCCTCCTTGGTGGCACAAAGGGTTAAAACACAACCTATAAAGCTATCCACAGCCACTGCAGCACGAGTTCGATCCCCAGCCAGGAAGCTGCCCACATGGTGCAGCAGACCTCTCCTGACTCGCCCGCTGCTCCCCTCAGCAGTGTATTTCTGTCAATCAGCCTGTTCTGCTCCCCACTCTGTCTCTGGTGAATCCTCTCACCCCCCACAACTCTGGCCTGTACCTCAACTCTTGTATGTATAAATAAAGAAATCTTAAAAAAAAAACTTCATGAAATAAAATATTTAGTATTACACATGGAATTCCTTACATTAAATTTAGTTAACAAAATATTTAAACAATCTGTGTGCTATGTTAATATGTGTTCTATCGTTTAAATTTTTGTGCTCCCCCACCCCCTTCAGGATTCACATATTGGAATCTTAATATCAGAGTGATGTTGTTTGGAATTTGAGCCTTTGGGAGGTACTTAGGTCATGAGGATGGAGCTCCTCTGAATTGGATTAGTGTTCTATAGCAAAAGGCCTCTCAGAACTCTCTTGCCCCTTCCAATATGTGAGCATACAACCACACAAAATGTTCATGGCTTCAGGTTTCCACTGAATTATTCTTGCAGTTTCCATAGATAATGGAATATAGCAGAAGTAATAATAGAAAAAAAATACGAAATTTAGATGTATGGTAAACTGTGTTGGTGTCCCACATATATCTTGTGGGTCAAATTGTTCTACTTGAGCCAAAACAGGTGGGTGAGAGGTTTGGATGCAGTTTTCAGAAGATAATCCCCTCCCCTCATTTACTTAGCACACCTTTTTTTTTTTTTTTTAATAAAGATTTATTTATGTACGCATACAAGAATTGGGGTACAGGTCAGAGGTTGTGAGGGATGAGAGGATTCACCAGAGACAGAGTGGGGAACAGAACAGGCAGACTGCTGAGGAGAGTAGCAGGTGAGACAGAAGAGGTCTGCTGTGCCATGTGGGGAGCTCCCTGTCTGGCCAGGATTGAATTTGTGCTGTGGATAGCTTCATAATACTGTGCTTAACCCCTTGAGACACTAAGTAGTCCCTGCTTAGCACATTTCTAATTGTAAATCCTAATAAAATGCCTGTTTGATGGTAAATCTAAACATGCAATAACTATGAGTTTATAGCTCATGGACATGGCGGTTAAAATGAGAAGAAAGATTTCAGTAATTATTCATGCCAAAAGATGAGGTTGATGAGCCCAGTATGCTTTACATTAGAAGAGTTAGTGTACGCAATACTGTCTATCAGATTCATTGCTTATGAAATGGAAAAAATAATCAAGGTTGTGAATTTTCTTCAAATGTGTTAAAGAATATCTACAAGAATTTGAAAGCAGCATATGGGGATTAAATTTAATTAACTTAATTCACTGTAGTGGTATGTTTTTAAGTCATGAGAAATTGCTGAGGAATTTCATTCAGCTGTTTCTACAGATTGCTGATTTTTTTTTAAAGACTTACTTATTTATGCATAGAAGAACTGGGGTGTAGGCCAGAGGTACAGGAGGTGAGAGGATTTACCAGAGATAGAGTGGGGAGCAGAACAGGTGGATTTACTGAAATACACTGCTAAGCAGAGCAGCAGGAGAGACAGGAGAGTTCTGCTACATCATATGTGGGTAAGCTCCCTGGCCAGAGATGAAACTCAGGCCATAGCAGTAACAGCTTGATAGCATTGAGCCTTAACTCTCATGCTACCAGGGAGGCCCTAGGTCCCTGATTTGTTAAAATAAAGGGTATCTGATGGATTTAGCTCATATAAATGCAGTGACTCGCAATATTGTGCATATTGATATGTGTATAAATACCCAACCTTCTTACCAATTATAGCTAATACATGGCAAGCAATGAGCTAAGGATCTAATGTGCATTATTTCATTTATTGCATGCACACTATCTGTTGAGCCAGCTCTGAGCTGTATACCCTGGATTTAAGCTATGAGGAGAAAGAAAAAAAAGAACACAAGAGCTCTGTGATTTGTGAAGACAAATCAATATGAAGAAATGAGCTATACATGTACCAGGAAACTACTGTTGTGGTCAAATAAAATGAAGAAAAACATGTCTGTGGTTGGGAATGAAATCAAATTTTTAAATAAGGTATTCACAGGTTTTGAAGCACCTTTTATTGTAAAATCTCAAATGTGTACAAAAATAGAGTATAATAAATTCCTATGCATTCATTTGACATTTATCAAAATTCATGGCTAATCTTGTTTAACTTATACACTTCAACCACTTCCTCTATTTTCTGTATTATTTTGAAGCATGTCTTATACCTTCAAATCGTTTCATCCATAAGAATTCAACATGTATCTAAAATACACAAAGTCTAACAAGCACAAAATGCCATTTCATACCTAGTAAAGTCCCGGTTATTCCTTAACATAATCAAATATTGTCAGTATTCAAACATTTAACCATCTCATAAATGTCATGATTCTTACTATATTAAATCAGAATACAAATGAGATACAAACTTAGCAAACATGATATAACTTTTCAATCTCTGTTTAAGTTACCCATTCTTTTTCTTGGGTTTTGCAATTTATTTATTGAATTTATTGAAGAAACTGTGATTTCCATAGTCTGGTTTTTACTGATTGCATGTCTTGTGTAGTTTAATGTTTCTGTCTTCTTGGAAGTTACATCAAATCATATTTTTGTTGTTGGTGTTTGGGGCAAAAGAACTTCACAGGAGGTGTTAAATTCTTCCTTCAGGGGCACATAACGACTGGTTCCATCACTTTTCTTGATGTTAGCAGATCAATAACCACTCTTTAGACACTAATTCATTAGATGTTGCAAAATGGTGATATTCTAATTATCAGTCTTTTTCAGTTATTTAGTGGGATACATTAATAAAGAGAAACTTTCTCACCTTCTACTTGATTACTCATTACTCCAGTGAGTATTGGAAAGTCCCTATATTTGCCACTTCTGAAAATCGATGAGTAGTTTCATAAGCATTTTCTAACAACATCAAAATCATTTGTTTTCAGTATCATTATGAATTCATAGATTTTAACATAATCATGTACTTCAAACTTTAGTGTTTATTACCCTTAATAAGTCACATTTTCCATCTATGGGCAGTGGGAGAGGCTTCAAATTCTTTTAGCATAATATTAGCAGTCATTGATAATATTCTTGCTCTCTGCTACAGCAAGATGCATCAGGCTTATCTTGTACATATTTTGCATCAGATTTGCAATTTCTTCAATGAGTCCTGTTTCCTTTTAATGGTGAGTGGTAGACACCATAATCTGGGCTGTAAGTTTTGATGTTTAACTCATACTTTGAGTTTCTGTGTTATCTTTTACAGTAGTTCCCATTTTGCTCAGAGCAAAATCTTTTTTTTTTTTTTGGTAAAGATTTATTTATTTATTTATACAAGCACTGGGTATAGTCAGAAGCGTGGGAGGGTGAGAGAATTCACCAGAGCCAGAGCGGGGAGCAGAGCAGGCAGAAGGACTGAAGTACACTGCTGAGGGGAGCAGCGGGCAGCAGGAGAGGTCTGTCGCGCCATGGGGACCCTCGCCGGTGGCCGGGGATCGAACCAGTGCTGCAGAGGCTGCAGGCAGCTTCGCAGCCCAGCGCTGAACAGCTGTGCCACCAGGGGAGGCCCCAGAGAAAAATCTTTTCAATGACCCATAAGCCCCTACACAATCTGCATGCCCTGATCATTCTGTTCTTACCACACATGCTCTAGTCTTTGGGCTGCTGGTGTGGGAATGCCCTTTTCTCAGATATGTGAAGAGTTCAATCTCTCACCTTCTATAAATCCTTGCTTCACTTTCTCATGGAAATCTATCCTGTCAACTATACTTAAAATCACACTAATCTCCCCAAACCCACTCCCATGTTCTGTTTTCATGACATGCCAGGACATCAGTATTGGACTAGCATAAAGGGAGGAGGTAAGGGCTTGTGAGAATGAGACTAAAGATTCTAGTTCTCCTATGGATAGGTATCCTTTCTCCTCTTCCAAGATAGTTCATATTTCCTGAACTTCATGGCACACTCATGCTTTGATCAGATTATCTGTACATACCTAAATAAATAGAATCAATGAGGTGGAGCAAGGCCAGAGGCAGTGGCAATATTCAGTTTCAGTCAGGCAATTATAAATACGATGCTGGGAACCAAGCTTTTAGGAGAACATAGGAAGGAGGGTCCCACTCCCAGGGAGGACTAGTAAAAGATATGCAAACTATCCTAGTAGGCTGGAATTCAAATAAAGGCTCTAACTGGGAAACTGGCATAAAAACCTCGAGAACAGCTAAAAGGTGTTGCAGAGACTGGTTGCAAGGGTTATGAAGTGCATGCTCAGTTCAGAGGACTGGGAAGTCAAGAGCAGAGGATATTGGATTTCTGGGAATGCAACTAATTATAGTGCACCAAACTGTAGGTTTGAAACTACTGTATTTTAAGATAACTTGGAAGCATAGTGTTTGGCATGGAGAAAGCCCTATTGGCTAGTTACTAAAACCAAGAATATGTATTGTTCTTTCAAACTCTGAAGCAAGTTTATTACAACCACTTTTTAGGTCTAAAGCTTTTAGTCTTCATTGAAGGTTCTGGAAGCTAAATCCCTTATCTGCCTAACAATTTAAGGCTCCTGGTCCTTGTCTGTAGCCATCTGTTTTAGAAACAAGTTAATAACCAATACATCAAATAAATCAGAAAAGGCCAGTACAATCTAACTGCAAGACATCTGCTTTGGGAATGAAAAATGCCATCCTGGTACAGACTACAAGGTTTGAATCATCTAATTGTACTGGAAACTGATGTTATTATATGCTGAGATTTTAGGTTTAATTCCACTAAAACCACTATTTTCAGAATGTTCATTTTTTTTAGGTGCAGTTCTTGCAATTAACAGAACTTTTTGACTATGCGCCTTCCAAATAAAAATGGGTGGAGTGTTAGGGAATTCAAATGACTGCAATACGTCTTTACAGCTCTAACTCCCTTGCTCCTATTCTTAAATAGCAAGTTAGTACTATAGCCTTTCCTACCCATCCCACATATATCCAATCCAATTGATACTAAAGTTCAACTTGTCACCCTCGTGTTCTGGTGCATTCTTTGCTCAGTCTCTTAACTAAATTTATCTTCATATCTGAGGTGATTTGGATTTAAATTTGTTCAATTTCAGATAAACTTCTATAGTACTTCATCTCTGACTTCCCCATTTTCTTGGGATCTAACACGCTGACAAAGGACAAGCCAGTATTTTACCTTTGACCTCATTGGCAGGAGCCTAATATAGTGCAATATATCAAGTGGACACACACAAATATGGTTGGGATTTTATCAACTAGGGAAACAAACGTTACAGGATTGATGAGCAAAAAAGGACAAACAAAAAATCAGGAAATGCGGTCAGAGGGCTCCAAAGCAAATTGCTTATTTCACAACCCAGCCTTGTTTTGTAGTGGTTTGCCATCTTTGAGGAAAGGGTAAAGACTTCCAAGTTTTGTGCAAGGCCCTAGTCTTTCACCAATCATTAAATATTTACCGTAAAAACAAGTTAACAAAAATAGTTTATTAGAAGGTTCCCAGTAGAATATGAAAGGGGAATCATGGATTGAGGCTTAAGGTCACCGATACCAAATATTTCTTCACGGGTAAATTCACCTGCACCAGCACAAATTGCTAGTTCCAGATATCACTCTGATGATTCTTTAGAGCTGTAAATCCATAAAATAGTGCCTCCCTGGTGGCACAAGGGGTGAAGTGTTAGCACTATGAAGTGATCCAGCCACTGCAGCATGAGTCCCATCAACAGCAGGGAAGTGACCCACATTAAGATCTCTCCAGTTTTACCCTCCGCTCCCCCCTCCAGTGTATTTCAGTCTGTCTGTTCCCCACTGTCTCTGGTGAAACCTCTCACCCCAAGAATATATATCTGGCCTGCACCCCAGCTCTTGTATGCATAATAAATCTTTAGTCATAAAATAACACAGATTCTATCAGTCACTGTTTTATACACCCTTTCTGCCCATGAACGTCTTATCAAAATTAGGTCTAAGGCTTCACAGCCTTTTTTCCCCAGGTAGTTGGGCATTTACAACCAAAATGAAACAATCATGCTAAATTACTTTTTCCATTTTTTTTTTGGTTTCTGCCTTGTCTGCTGCATTAAGCTTTGAACTTGAAATCACCCATTCCTGTGACTAATTATTTCAGCTTAACTGTCCTCAGGTTTCCATTAATCCATACAAGGTCTATTTTAATAATGCATTTGCTAAAGGTTTTATTGGCATTGTACTACTTGATGCATGTATAATCATTGTATAGTCCACTGTTAAGTATAATGTGCAGATAACCCAAAATACTAGGTGCTGTATCCATGATTGCACCAACATTGTTTTAATGTGTTCGCAAGCATTTAAGAAATTTTATATGCCTCCTTAATACTCTGAAGACTATCAACTATAAAAACGTAGGTAAATATTTTAGGAAAAACCATGACACATAGAGCCCAACCACCTTAGGCTTGATCAGATATTATTACTATTGGCATTAAATCCATTCTGCACAATATTTTAACCCAGTTTTATTTTGTCAGTCATTTGTTCCATACCTTCAATTCCACAATTGTGAGTATAATTTCTTACTTAGCTTTAATTACCATTATGTATTGATATTTAAACAGGGGAGAATTTATGCAGAACAATGTTGATTACAAGTGTCCTTGATGGAAAATAAAAAAAACACCCTATTAAACATATATTTTTGCACTTGAAATAGAAGCAGATATAGGAAACAACCTACTGCTATGACAGCAGGGAACTATGACATTAAAGAGCTAGAATCTAATAAAATATTAATCTGGACTCGATGCTGGTTCATAATCTATCAGTTAACCAATAAGTCCTCTTGATTTCTCTTTCCAAGTCTGTAAAATGAAGAGCTTTTCCTGATCACCAGTTTTTCATACAACAGACAAGTTTATCTCGTGGCACTAGCCCTAGAAAAGGAAAAACAGTTGAGATTTACTAAGCTATTAACATTGAAAGATCTTAGAACAATTTCTGAAAATATTCTTGTCCTTTAATGGTCTTATCTCAGAAGCCAGATCCGTGTAAGTTTTCTCAACAGAAATTCAGGTTCGGGATAGGATCATCACAGATAAGACCAAGAACAAGATACTGAATAATGGTTAAGAAAAATATCTTAACTCACAGAAATGGCGAAATGGTAGCAACTTCCTAACAAGCTGGTCTCCTCTTCAATGGTCAGGCAGCAAATCCCTCACTATTGAATAAAGAAAATCCGCTAAGGTGAGATAATATTATATGGTCTAACATCCACCCACAAGATTTATAGGCGAACAATCCTGTTATAAAAACAAATCAATAAATTCCCCCCCCCCACCGTGGTCTTATCTCAGAAGCCGAATCCGTAAGAGCTTTTCTTCAGGTTATCAGCTTCGGGATAGGTTTCATCATTGATCAGACCATTTTCCCCCTGAATTATGTTACAGTGACGTTTATTATAAACTTAAGCAACATTAAAGGCTAACACTATAGCAAATCTTACTTACTTGAAATAAACCAGCTAGCCAAAGACATCCAGACCAGACCTTCATGAATATTCATCAAACCCCACGATTCTGTTGAAGGACAAAAAGGAATTTTCTTTAGGTACTCTATTAGGTACGACCCAAACATTTGCTAAATCGAAGTACTATACTAAACCAACACATACCTTGGAAGAGCCTCCGTTTTTAACCAAGTCATTTTACAGCAAATATCCTCCCACGTCTTCGAATTCTCCTTTGTATCTAATAAAAAGGACCAAATTTCAACTTAGGTATCATATTCTAGTCTTGTATAGCAACAGGTTTATTTCTCCAATTGAAGTGCTAGCAAAGGCACGTACCTTACAATTTCCAAGCATCGGCTCGGCTACACGATGGAGAGCCATTGTTCCTGCGGGGAACAAAATATACTCAAAACCCTCCCTGTCGTTGATCCAATTTGCACACAGCGCCACCTGGGCACAGGAACAAATCAATCTCACTTAAGGCCAGCGCCTGTCCATTCTGCAAAAAATAACCTTTGTTCTGGCGACTGCAGACGTTCGCCTTGAAAAAGGCCTCTCGCTCCAAGTTAAAACTAATTCCCCGCCTCAACTACTGGAGTTGTGACTGCTTCCCTGCCGCCGCTCAGGCGCAGCCGGTGGGGTTCAGAAGCACAGCAGCGCGCACCGCCGGGGGCCATCACAGCAGCCTCCTCACGTCTAAGCTCGCGGCCAGCCGCCCCCGAGACTCAGGACATGCGGACGGCAGACTGTGCGTTTCTCACATTTAAGTTTTCAACGCAGGGCTTTAAGCTCCAATCACAACTCTTTACAATCCTACAGGAGCCCGACTTCCGCCTGCGCACCCACATTCCCTCGCGAACCCACCCGCGACGTTCACTCACCTCAAAGAGACGCAACCGCTCCACCGCCGGACGGAAAAGACCGAGCTGCGTCCCCAGCGGTTCCCTATATAGTCGCTCCTGCGTCAGAACGAGGCCGCTCCTCCCCCTCGCTTCTATTGGACGCGACAGGAAGGGGGCGTGGCCACTTCTGAGGGACGCGAGCGAGAGCGTGCGCGGCGGCTCTTTTCATTAGCGCGGGCTCGTTCTGGGGCGTGGTGCGCGCGCCGCCCGCCCGTCGCGCTCCGCCTTCGTCGCCCGCGCGCACTCGCTGGCGCGCCGCGCTCGGGGCCTGCCCAGTCTGGCCCTACGTGGCGTGGGAGTGGCGCCAGAATTCAAACTACCAGCCGCACTTGAAGGCGAGACTGACGCGTGCTCCGAGCCAAGTCCGCGCAGGACGTACTGGGCAGCTCTGGGCGGGCAGTGGACCTAAGTTTCGCAGCGCTGGGCGACTTGGACCAGATGAACCCACGGAGGACCGGAGCTGGCCGGTTGTCTGGCGCCTGGCGGGAGTGGACGCCCCGCGGCCGCCGCCGAAGGAGTGGGCGGGCTCCGGCCGCGGCACGCCCGAAGGCGAAATTGGCGGGCAGGAAGGCTCGGGGGAAGAAAGTCCGCGAAAGCGTGGCGCCTCGTCGCCCGTGCGCTGCGAGAACACCGTGCCTTGCGGGAGAGCCGGAGCCGGGGCGCGCGCCCACCCTCGCGCACGCCTCGCCAGCAGCCCTTAAGGTCTCCCCGAGATAGCAAACCCGAGAGGTAAATGCTGTACCCCGTTTGGCGGAGGAGCAAACTGAGGCTTAATGAGGCAGATAAGTAATTTGCCTAAGGTTACGCCACTGAAAAGCTTCGCTGGTTTTAATTTCTTTGTGCTGAATTTTTGATAATGAATGCAGGCGAAAGATTCATGTGAGAAATAGCCCAGAATACCCTAGCACACATGACGTTGGAGCATTACAGCATTTGAATATCCCGGTCTTCTTTACTTCATAGCTCTTTTTATTAATCAAAACTGTATGTGTGCGTTTCGTTGTCCACATGTCTGAGGGGTACTTAGTTGTGGACATCAACTGTTTACTTTCTGCCTTAAAACAGTGCTTGGGCCCAAGGAGATTGTCCATAAGTATTCTTGAATGAATAAATGAACAGATGCGGTGACATTTAGAAAATTAAAATGAAGACTCAATTCGTATTAAATTATTGCGAGAAGCAGATTTCTATAACAGGAACCTAAATGATTAAATAATTACTTGTCTGGGCATCATGTAGATTTTAAAACATCATTTTGTAATGTGCAATGTAAATTTGCATATTCATAGTAAGAAACCAGAGTAGTGCAAATGGATAAAAAGCAAAGTAAAAGTTCCTTTCCTGGGACTCTTCTCAGCAGTTCAGTTTTCCAGCAGTAAATCCTGTTAACAATTTTTGAAGCTTTCTACGTATGTACAAATATGCATACATATATTTTTCACATAAAAATAAGATCTGGGCCTCTCTTGGCACAGGGTTGTCTCAGCAATATCAAGCAATAGCCAGCCACTGCAGCACACATTGGATCCCTGGTTAGAGAGCTAACTCAACAAGGCACAGCACACCCTCTCCTGCCTCACCCGCTGCTCCCCTCAGTAGTGTATTTCAGTAGATCTGCCTATTCTGTTCCCCACTCTGTCTCTGGTGGATCCTCTCACCACCCCCGCACCCTACACCTCTGGCCTACACCCCAGTTCTTGTATGCATAAATAAAATAAATCTTTGAAAAAAAATAAGATCTGTGTACTCTTCTGCAAATTGCCTTGCCCCTTCATTAATATATCAGGTATCTATCAGTATATGTAGATGACCTTATTCATTTGTGTAACACTCAGTTGGATATATCATAATTTATTTCACCAACTTCCAAGTTTTCACCATTTCAGACAGTGCTGGAGTGAGTTTTAATGATTTTGTAAGATTTACAAAATTTCTAGATTGTGTTCAATATTGCTTATTGTCCTTACCTTTTTTCCACTCCCATAAAAAGACTGTTGTGATTATATTTTAAAGTGTGCTTTGCTGATTGAAAAGCATGTATAAGTAGGATGCAGATATTACACAACTGAAATTGAGAACTATTACTCTTTCATATCTATGAATTAATGTTGTGCTGAAGATCCTCAAAATTACCCGGTCAAAAGCAGTATGAAACAATGACTCTCTACCCTAAGTTACCAATTGAATTACCTGGAGAACTAAAATATCACATTTCTGGGCCCCCACCTGGAACTACTAAAGCTGAATCTCCAAAGTGGAACCCAGGAATCATAATTTTATTTATTTATTTTTTATTTTATTTTTATTTATTTTTTATTTTATACATTTTTTTACATCATTTTTCATTTTTGCACAATGTTTGCATTTTCATCTTGGTTATAGTCCCCATACAATTCCCACCCCCCTTGTTTTGTTCCTACTCCCTCCCCCCCACCCCACTGTGTCTCTGGTTTATAGTTGCTTGTTGATTTTGATTTTTAGTTTATTATAATTAGGTTTTTCCTGGTCCCTTATTTAGGTTTTCTAAATCCTGCTATGAGTGAGACCATCCGGTATTTTTCTTTTTCTTTCTGTCTTATTTCGCTGAGCATGATCCCTTCCAGCTCCATCCATGTTGCAAATTGCATGAGTTTATCTTTTTTGAGGAATCAACATTTTATTTTATTTTATTTTATTTTTTAAAAGAAATGGAAAGACATTGCTTGCTTATGGATTAGAAGAATTAACATTTTTTTTTTTAAAGATTTATTTATACAAGCACTGGGTGCAGTCAGAAGCGCGGGAGGGTGAGAGAATTCACCGGTGCCAGAGCGGGGAACAGAATAGGCAGAAGGACCGAAGTACACTGCTGAGGGGAGCAGCAGGCGGCAGGGGGCAGCAGGAGAGGGCTGCGCGCCTTGTGGGCCCCTCACCCAGCAGCCAGGGATTGAACCGGCACTGCAGAGGCTGTGGGCAGCCTTGTAACCCAGCGCTCAACTGATGTGCCACTGAGGAGGCCCAGGAATCAACATTTTAAACAAGCATTTGGGGCAATGTTGTCTAACAGGAATATAATGTGAATCACAAAGCAAAGTACACATGTAATTTTTGTTTTTTAAAGATTTCTATTATGCATCAGTGGCTTGCCATAGCTTGATAGTGCTGAGACGTTAACCCCTGCACCACCAGGAAGGTCCTACATATGTAATTTTAAAAATTAGTAGCTACAGTTTTTAAAAAGTGAAAAGTATCAAGTGAAAACATTTTATCTAGCCCAATATAACCAAAATATTTTCATTTCAATCTATGATCAATATATTATTGAGATATTTTGCAATGTTTTGTTTTTTTTTTTTACTCAGTCATTGAAATCCAGTGTGTACTTTACACTCACAGAACAACTCAGTTTTACCATATACATTTCAAGTGTTCCGTGGCCACAGGCTGAGTCTACTTGTATCACAGCACATGTTTAGGGTGTTTCTCATATATGCAGAAGTTTGAATGTTACCGTAAGTGGGGTACATATCTAACCAGGTTTTTTTTTAAACCTATATTATTTTTCACACATAAACCAATACGTTAATCCATACGATGCAAAACAAAATGAATCCATGGGGGCCTTCGTGGTGGCGCAAGGGGTTAAGATGCAGCCTATGAGATTATTCACAGCCACTAAGGCAAGAGCTCCATCCCCGGCCAGCCAGGGAGGAGACCCACATGGCGCAGCAGACCTCTCCTGACTTGCCCGCTGCTCCCCTTAACAGTGTATTTCAGTCAATCCGCCTGTTCTGTTCCCCACTCTGTTTCTGGTGAATCCTTTCACCCCCCGCACCTGTGGCCTATTCCCCAGTTCTTGTATGCATAAATAAATAAATCTTTAAAAAAAACAACAAAAAGAATCCAGAGACTGATTATTGAGAACTCTGTCCTCCAGTGAATTGAGTGTTGACTATGAAGGCAGCATACAAGTCATTCAAGGTGTTTATTTCTTCAAGGAGCATAAAAACATACTGAGGAATGAAGCCATCAGTCAAATTGCTACCAAATATTTGCAGTGATTTAAGACAGACCATCTATATGTCAAAACTGAAATTGAAAATGTCTTTGAAGGGCTTCGCTGGTGGTGCAAGGCATTAAGACACAACACTATGAAACTATCCGTAGCTACTGCAGAACCAATTGGATCCCCGGCCAGGGAGCAACCCACATGGTGCAGCAGACCTCTCCTGACTTGCCTGCTACTTCCCTTAGCAGTGTATTTCAGTCAATCTGCCTGTTCTGTTCCCCACTCTGTCTCTGGTGAATCCTCTCATGCCCCATGCCTCTGGCCTGCACCAGTTCTTGTATGCATAAATAAATAAATCTTAAAAAAAACAAAATGTCATTGAAGAATGTGGCATACTGAAAATAAATTCTCTTTTTCTGTAACTTCCAGATAAGATTATAATTTTAATCATCTTGGGGGAAAGAAGTGTTCACTGAGCCCCTTGTGCAATGCAATGTGCTTCAGAGAGAGCTACACAAAACCAACATCCTTGCCCTTCCTGAAAAAGTTTATAATTTAGTAAGAAATGTTTACCCAACTTTAAACACCTCTCCTGTAAAAATTAGTCATAAAAGATTTTTGGATAGGATCATAATGTGAACCAAATAGTATCTTAGGAAATGTTTGAAGGGAATGACAAAAGCAGAGTTTAGAAATTAGTGCAATCATTTGGATAAGATACTGTGATGGACACTACTTCACTTTTGGTCATGGAAATGAAAAGCAAGGAAGAGAACAGCACATGGTAAGAACCTTGGTGATGTTAGTTTCTGTGTGCATTGGATCATGTAATATATTAGAGACTAGGGAAGTGTGGCAAGGACATCTTGATTAACATTCCGTAGTCTTTCTGACCGTAAACTCATAATCATGTTGTCAGGGACTATACTGTTGTGTTAAAGGAAGAAATAGTTGGGTGTGATGATACGTGGAGAAGCCTGGGCAGCCAAGAGAATGGCAGTCCCATGGACAGGATGAGGGAAG